GTGTTATTCTTAATGCTAATGATGTTTGAGCAAGTACACGAAACCCAAGCCGAGGTATGTAATTATACCTGCAAATTTGCATACTAGTCTTAATTGATTTTTTTGGGTGTCGTTACCCCGCTTAAAAGTACTCGAGTGCCATGAACGTTTGCAATTCTCGTATGCCAAATCTAAACCTATACTGAATTCAACCCCCTTGCTACAGTCCGATTTCCACCTTAGCCTAGATTGTATTTCGCATTTTATTATCCGCCGGGGGAAAGTTTTTCGGATGAATTAATTCCCACCGTTTTCGTGCACTTCATCAACCGAAGAGGAAAAAAATAAATACGCCGATATTGGGGGGGATGAGGGCCTGTTTATATATCGACGCTACTCTATAGCAATTTCCGGGTAATAACGGGACGTGTTAGGTGAAGAAAGGAGCATAAGAGTTGTGAAAGGAAGGGGGTGTACCGCTGGAATATTAAGAATGCGAGGTACGACTGAAAATATGGGATGCCATAAATAGAATAGACGCCGAGATATATATGTTATTGAGGCTTTCTGCGAAAGAGGGTCATGAAATTGGTTATGACGCAAAGCTAGGAGTGTTTTCAGTTAGCGATCCATGCCTATTGACGGCCTGGAGCCGATAATACGTGAGCTCTTACGAATTCCTTTACCTTGCGGACCAATATGTGTATTCGATCGTTCCTTGTTCAAAGGGCTTCTTCACTCAAATGTTTCTTGATAGTTCAATATAAGTAAGTAACCATGAATCATGCGTGCGCGTTATATCGTGACGTTGATTTTTGCTTTATTTACCTATTATGTACTCATTTTATAGATTACATCTAACACGAATACGGGATTACTGATCCTAACTTCCAGTTACACTACACAGTGTTTACATGGGGGTTGCAAATTCGTAAACGTAGAAATGCTCCTTATTCGAAGTGGCGAACATAATAAAAGTGCAGCACATATAATTTATAGATCAATTTAGTGAACGTTTCCGAATAACATGTTTGTTTCAATAGATTATGGTGCAGATGGACCAAAAAAATAACCCTGATTGGATTGGTCAGAGACATTAACCAATCACTTTTCTTAAGGATCAGAATTAAACCCATTTATGAGCCTTTTATCTGGCGTAGGGCAATCAGACAACACTGGATAAATCCATTTTTTATAGTTTTGAGATATTGACTAAAAACCTGTCTACGTCAGGTTTTTGAAATTTCCCCAAAAAGAATAATGTAAGCGAAACATATATGACATAGTACTTCTGCAATATTTTCCTTCCCGTTCCATTATCAATATAAAAAATGTAGCAAAAAACAAAAGGAATTTATCTTCTTTTGCTTGATTTCAAGAAAATGTATTGAATTTTGCAATGTAAAGTTGCTTTCAATGATATTATGTTTTATGAGCATTATGTATTTTATGCTAAAACTATTATTTATTTATATTTTTTGGGCTCGTCGATTTCTGTGATCATTGGCCCATTCTGATCCAAATTTGTTAAAATAATTTGTTTATTGCTTTTTATAAAATCATTAACTTTTTCGGTTTTTTGTTTGTTATATACAGTGTGTCTACTTAAGTTAGCGCCACATGGAAAACTCCCAATAAGTGATTCGATTAGTGGAATGGTTGTCTGTGTCGTTTGATTTCTATTTTCTTAACCTATTCAGTCATCTTAATTAGTGCTATTTGGTTATAACTGCTAATTCGGCATGATGTCACTTCATCAGCGTGAGAACTGCATATTAGAAAAAAGTGCGATTTTCTTTATTACCCTAGATCTGTTTTGATTCGTAAGACGGGAATTAAGTAACGAATGAATGATTAAAGATGGCTGTTCAACTTAACAATTCGCCATTTTGTACGTCATTAGCTCAGTAACATTAAGTAGGAGTCTTCCCTGGAAGATTTTGGCATTCGTTCGGGTTTTGACCACCAGCGTAATCCGTTTGTAGTCCCAAAATGAATTAATTTCCGTTTTGAGCATGGTAAGATCAACCGTATTGCGTGATTTTTGATCAAATTCAACCAAAGTGGCGCACAATAATAACACAATGTAACGAATCCGCGGGATCCTTCGTGAGATTTGAGCATAAGTCGCTTTTTTGGATCGCCCTTGCTACCAATATTTGTGGTGGCAATTCGAAATTATCTAGCCAGTTACACGTTTTAGTTTTATCATGAAAAGAAACGACATTTCTAAGTGAATTAATTAAACGTATTCCTTTTGGAAACGCACATAAACAATTATCTTTCTAGCGTGCATTTCGAAAAAAGTAATTAATTTATTGGTTCCTTTACGCTACCAAGAAGTTCCATTAAATTCCAGTGTTTTTACGTACCTTCCCGTTCAAGGGGACCTCTGTCGGTAGAACTGAAAAATTGTTAACAGAAGTTAGCGACTGCAATCGTTAATATTTTGTTATTGCTACATTTTCAACTAACTACATTGCGAAATTAGATGATCCACTAGTAGGCAGGGGATACTTTCTGGCCCGAAGGACCAATCTTTAATGAAAATAGGTAACTTTTGCTTGAAAAGTGTGTAATTAAAGGAGCGGAAGGATTGGTATTTTTAACAAGGGAAGTAGTTAATTAAATGGGGCTAATTGTTGGTCGGAACTCAATATTAAGATGCGACAAATCTTCCGTAAACTCACCTTTCATTAGAAACGTCCCTCTGTAATCTACGCGTACGGCCATAAGGGGTGATATGACAGCATCCAGTATGCCTGGTCTTGAACTGAACTTTACTGAACCTTCGAACACTCCGGTTGGCGATTGGGATTGAAACGACACCCTGAAGGGTTAAGATGGGGCTCATACCTATTGGAGAAAGGGTTACGCTGCGCGCACGTGAATTATTTAGGATACACACGCCGCCTCGGCCTCTGACTAGGACCCTCGGCTAATGGATCAATCACAGTAGATCTATGCCCATGGGTCAAGCTCACCCCCGAACTCTTTTTATTAATAATAACTGAGGCTCTCTACTTAACGTTCCTTACGATCGTGACCAGAGCGCGTGCGCAATTTAACTGCCTTAACAGTAACACGATCCCTTAAGACCTTTGCACCCATCTCTACAGAATCGCGCATACTTGACCAGTCCGCTGGGACACATTTATCAAACAGGGGTTGGGATATCATCTTAGTTTCTCATCATTAAGTACCGCCATAAAACATCGTTCTTCCAAGTGATTAAAACTGTTCGACAATTTTGTTTCTTAACTCATCAAGTCTGTACACAACAAATTTCGTGGAATCCTCTCCAGTTTTATTGTTCGGCGCCAAGAATTACAGTGGAATTTTCAAAAACTAATTTCAAAATCGTGATTTTCATGACCAAAAATCTCCAGATACCAAATTTCGTCGAAATCAGAATTTTTCGTGGTAGGAAAAAAAAAATTTCCAAAATCAGAAAGGGCACCCCCAAAATCTAGTCAAAGACGTGCCACCAGTCTTTGTAACTCTTATTGTTGCTGAGAAAAAAATGATAGGAGAAATGCAAATTTCGCCACTTTTTTGAGGTTCCAAACGAAACCCGTTGAACCCTCGGGTTATTTGGAAAAAGTGCTTGTTTTGATCGCCTCTTCTACTACCCAATTTTTTTATATACTTAATATGTTGATATATACGCCCTGTATCCAGACACCTTTTAAATATCAATTAAACAACAAAGTGGAATGAACTAACTACACAATGATATGAAGCATGTGGTCACCATGTATATAGATTCCAATAGTAGTAGGTAACGATGCTTTTTGGAGATTAAACGCAATACTGATCATATTATTTCATTTAGAGGTCAATGTTTGAATAATTGCTTTGTTTTGGTAATTGTAAATTTAAATTACATGCTATTCTTCTGGAAATATTTGCGATGTATTGATAATACTTTATCTCATGCTTTTCTCCGATCATTGCGATAAGAGCTCTCATCGCCGCAAAGTTAATTAGTATCAAGTTAAGGACGTGTTATCGCCTGTTAGAAAACACAGGTGCAGTTTTATTTTTCGATTCTAAGGTAGGAGGCACGGAAGTGTGGAGAAGGAAAAGGTTTTAAATAAGCGAACCCGACGTTAACCGGTTGGTCAAGCGTTTGGTTGGTGGTGGCTCTTTTTGGCGGAAGTTGGCGAGTTTTAAAACGCGACTGTATTTGAACAGTCAGTTTTGCTATTATCGAAGCTTTTTAAAACAGTCAGTTTTCCCAGTTATCATTTTAGAAGAAAGTTAGTGGAGTGCGGCGAATATTAAGAGAGAAGGTCGTCAAGTTATCAGTTTCTCCTCTATCAACAGAGCCAACACTATAATTGTAATTAAATGAATGAAATTGAAGTTTGAGTGCAACCTAAGAAGTGAAGTTCCTTAGTTTTTTTATATGTTAGTGCGTCTGTTTACTAACAACCGCAATTATGCCCGGATGATAAGGATTATTTAAGTTAAGATAGTTGAAACTTTATACAAATTTAATTTGTTTAATTGATCGTTTATTGCGTGTGTGTTTTATATGGCCCTGAGTGCCATCCTTTTCTTCAGATGATCTGATTGATCGATGATGTCCTATAAATTTGTTTCATTTGTAAACGGTTAGTTTTGTGTTTAATCGAACCCAAATTACGACCTAGATAGAGTTCTCAAATTAAATTGTTCTATTTTGTACCCAGTTTATTCAACATCAATCAATCCAATCATATGAAAGAAAGGATGGCACTCAGGACCATTTGAAACACATCACGCAACAAGCGATCGATTAAACCTCAGATGTTAATTAAAATTTTGTGAATTAAATCTTTCGAATTTTACAGGTTAAGACTGCCGAATTTCTCAAATTTAATAAAATCAAAGCCCTAGAAAAATTATAATTATTTCATTTAACGGTTTTATTAATAAACTTGCTTTTATTTGAGGTAGCTGTCATTGCGCATAGCAGTACATATGAGAATAACGATTGAAACCGCGATCCAGGCTGTGATTTTGTCGAAAATTGACTACGGCTGCATAGTGTATTCGTCCGCGCGTAAATCGACACTTGCAACCTTGAACAGCATACATAACACAGCCATAAGGTACTGTCTTGGAGCTTTTCCTACCAGTCCGACGAACAGCTTATATTGTGAGTCGGGAGTACCGCCCTTGGACACTAGAAGAAAACAACTAATTGCAAGCTATATGACTAAAATTTCATCATTGCCATTACATCCTAATAGGGTGATACTCAACATAGACATGCAGTTGTACAGACTGAAACCTACCATTACCCGCCCTGCCTGTATCAGATTCCAGGAACATCTCGAGCAACGCCGAATAGTCCCTCCAGCGCCGCTCCATGAAATGATGCTGGACACTGTCCCGTGGAAGGTACCTGAAATAAAAATAAGAAAAGATCTAATGCGCTACAAAAAAGAGATTACAAAACAACCCACTTACCTGCAGGCATACGAGAACCTCCTTAACGAATATCCCTCATACCAACCTGTGTACACGGATGGGTCCAAGAACGCGTATGGGGTGGGAAGTGCTATAGTCACCGAGGGCGTAGCATACGAGTGGAGCTTGAATACAAACTCTTCGCCCATCTTTGCAGAGCAGTATGCCCTATGGCAGGCTGTGCTATACTGTTCAATGATGAAAAACAACCGATTTTTAGTTGTTACGGACTGTATGAATATCCTAAATGGGCTAAAGAAAATCTACAACACAGATCCGATGAACATCATGCTACAGTCTGCTATATACATCGTATTTCGGAGCAAGGTAAATCACTCGAATTTATTTGGGTCCCTAGCCACGTTGGTATCTTTGGCAACGAACAAGCAGACCAGGCCGCCCGTAGAGCGATATCGAACCAGCAGACAGATGTAAATTTCATGGTGGCAAGTGACATCAGAAGGCACCTAAAAGAGCAATATGTTGCAGAATGGCAAGAAAAATGGGCACAGGTAAATACTCACCTGTCGCAGATAAAACCTATTCCAACGACACTATACACGCTACAAGATGCTTCGAGAGAGGACAACGTGAAAATGCACCGTCTGAGGATAGGACACACTAAGGTCACACACGAACATCTGCTAAAGAATACTGTACCAAGACAATGTAATCACTGCAATACGGCCATCACGGTTACTCATATTATAAGCCATTGCCCACTATACAATAACGAGCGATTGATAAACGGTATACTGCCCAACTACATCGACAATTTTATAAACCCTGAAAATGCAATGAAGATGGTGAGATTTTTGAAAATGATTAATATATACGCTGATATATAATATGCTTAGTGAATTAAAGGGGATATGACCTTAGTAGTTGAACCCTACAAAAAAAAAAAAAAAAAAAAAAAAAAAAAAAACGCCAAAGAATAAAATAATAAACTGTATTTTATTATAAAGATATAACTAGTGCTTTAGTTAGTATAATTTTTATGGGATAGTGTAGCATGAGCCTGTCTTCCGCGCTTCATATTATTTTAATACGTGAGAGACGCTCTAGTGTTTTTTTATGCCGAATATTAATCGTAAGCATACATTTTTTTGTGTATACTGCCAACATCCAGACCATCTGGGCAAAAACCACAGGCCACGTCACAATAATTAGATTACGATCAGACAACCAAGACACATAAAATCACTTTTAAATGCTGACGTAATAAATTTCAATTTGAAATTTTTGACATGAGGAGATGACTGACAAATTTTTGCGTAGACGTGTTTGGATTTTTTCACGCCTCAGTATAACTGACTTATTCAAGGGGGTTGGTTTAGCCGGAATGCACGTACTGTATGATAGTTTTTTGTTCGTTCAATTTTACTGGCACAATACCTACCAAAATTATGAATTAAATACGATAACGTATAATTGAATTAATACCAGTGCAAACGTTTGCAAATGATAATAGAATATTATTGATTATTAATTAAATTTTTTCATGTGATGCTATCCAATTGAAAACTAATAGCGCATTATACGATATCGATGGGAGGGGAACGTCGTGGGAAGCAAATCCGCTAATAAAATCAATATTCAATTGATACATCATTCATAATTACACATATAGGGAATTGAATAATCCCCTGAGAAATATATTTATGTATTTAATAACGGTGTACACGTGACTCCTGAAGGGGGAGCTTTGGTTCTCGTGTGCCCGCGCGCGCCAAATGAATTCGCCATGAAAAATTTATAAAACTTTCCTGAAATGCGACCAGATGCCGGTGCGGCATACGCCCGTTGCCGATGCAAATTATTTAGTTTAATAAAAAGAAAAGATTGTTAATTACGTGTCGAAAAGGAGAAGGAAACGGAGAAATTCGTTTATGTAACAAAAGGTTCATTAGAAGGAAGAGTTTTACCGCAGTTAAAAGTAAAATAAAATAATAAAACTCTATAACGAGTGACTTCGAACAATCGGCGCCTTTTTGTGTAGACACGAATCATTACGTTAATTTAAGTTCTTGATAAAGTCATTATTCGGTATCCGAGTTGCAGCAATTATGATCATTATATGAGTGCGCCGAGACTTTTGGAAAAGTAAAAGTTATCTAGTCTCGGCCCTTGCAGGAAACGTGCCGGAGATACGGTGATAAATTCGACTAAAGCTATTATGGGACTTCATCACGGACTTTCGCGCCCTCTAATGCGAAAGAAACTAGAAATAGAAGAACTCAGATTAGTTTGATCTTTGATAAGGACCGTTCTACTAACTGGATCCCGCACCATCCTGCCAGGATGCTCCGATTCCCAATTACCTTTTGCTTTCCCGCGCCTTTTCCTACCCATTCTAACGGTCCCTTTGACCGACGACGCCATGTCAACTGGAACCGATCCCACTTTTGCTCTAAAGCCACCTTGATCAATGAACCCTTTTTTCTTGGATTTTTACTTTTATGTCATGGCATTACGACGACCGAGCGCACGCACACATAAAACCTTAAAAATAAAAGCGTTTCGGCGATTATCAAGAAAATTGCTCCTAAAGGGATGTAATTTCTAATTTATATGCATTTTGTAATCTTCGGATACGTGCATTTTAAAATTAATTTTTCACCCGGCGAAAGTTTAGTAATCAATTGAGCGCCCGTTTACTACCTCAATTGCGGAAATTAGATCCTCTACTACCTACTTCGTAATTTATTTTAGCTTTGCGGGATTTAGAATGGTAACCAATCTCATTTTTTAAATTGATTAAGAGCCATAACTGAATTGAATGATTTTCGAAAGTAGCTTGCTAATCGCCTAATTAGTTTACCTTTCTCGTTTGTCAAGCGTTTCGCATCAATTCGCAGATATTTAGGTTAAACAGGATGGCTCAACATAATGCAGTGGATTAGTTCCATAGTGGTGGGAAAATGGGGTAAATCAGTCGTAAGTTGGTCAGTATATTTAAGACCGAAGTAGGTAGTAGCCTTATTTTTCTTTAAAATAAAGTCATCATATGCTTTTCGAAACTGTTTTGGTAGTATAAAAATTTGACCCTTGGCAACTGTCAGTATCAAAAATAACAATTTTAAAGCCATTCTTAATTTCGATTTCCTGGACTCTGCCACGATGTTTGTGAGTGCTGAATTTGACTAGGACCCAAGCACCTGTCACAATTTTCTTGCTGAATTCTTCTTCCGGTTTCTGTCCGTCTTCATCTTGGACTTCGTCAGAATCATGTTCTCTTACCAAGTCTGAGTCGTCGATGTTTAGCCTGGCATCGAACCTTGAAATCCTCCCAATTGCATTTGCTCTAGAGAAACAACTCGTTTCTAGTAGCTTCTTAAGCAAGTCTGGAAATGCAACTTTATCCACGTTCTTGTACCCAGAATTTTGATAATAATCCTTTAACACATTTCGTCTTGCAGTTTTTATTCCTTTAAATACCGCAGCGTCAAGAGGTTGTAATAAATGCGTCGTACCATGGGCCTTCCAATCGCATTGCATTTCCAATTTTTGATGTGATTCATTAGAATAGTGCGATTTATGGCAGTTCAGTAGCCCTCTCGATGCCCATCCATCCATTTTTCCATGTTTTCGAGAATTACACAAAATCCGGTTAATCGCCAGAAGGTCATAAAACTTAATTGCAATTAAACCCACATTTAATTGATTAATACAATTACACTTAACGTGCCGACTACTAAGTGTTTTCAAGGAAAAAAACGAAAAGATAATTTAACATGTGCATTCCAACTGGCCTTAAGGATACACCAATAAGAAATCGCCACGAACTAAATAAGATATAATTTAAAACTTCAGTGACACTCAAACAAATTGGGATTTCCGTAACGATGAGAGATACAGTATAGGTAAAATGGGGGCAAAGTTTCCCCTTTTTGTGAGTAAAAAATTCATTTGAAATTTTTGTCAAATTTTTGAAAATAACGTTTGTAAAAGATACGGACTACTAGTTGCTAACGGGAACCGCCCATTTGCGATCGTTTAAGCTAGGGAAAACGAATTTTGACATTTTCAGACTTCCGGTGATATCTCAGTTATTGTCAAAGAGTCAGAAAAGGGGTCAACTTTGCTCCCATTTAACCTACACTGTCTCTCGCCTGTACACGGTGTACCATTTTCAATACTTTTATAGGGTATTTCCGTAATTGTTAATACTATGGAATAGTAATATAGACGAAATGTGCTTTTTTTGAATCTCGCTTAAGAGATACGGGAAAAAATCAAAAATTGTGAATTTCGGAATGAATCTATATTTTCTTAGTTACAAGAGATACAGAAAAATATTCTTTTTCAATGATTATTGCATAATCTACCGTTTTCAAAATAAGTGTAAGGGGTAAGACAAAATCTTTTTACAGAAACACTCTTAGATTTTGATCCAAAAGATAGCATATTATATTCTCTTTTCAAAAACAGAACTGTATAACTTCAAAAAAGGTTTTACAACATTTTTTTGTCATTGATTGGTACTGTTTGAATCATTTGAACCTTTTTTATAATTTGTTTACATATTTTTTTAATTAGCTGAACTTTTTTTTTAACATCATCCCTCTTGTATTATATTTTTCGAAAAAGAACAATATACTATCTCTTTAGATTAAAATATACATGGGTTTCGTTTAAAAACAATGAGGTTAGGTCCGATAACTTTGTGTCTAACCCCTAAATACATATTTTGACAGGAGACAGATTATTCAACAATCATAAAGTTGATTTGATTTTAAGTTTGGCCCAAAAAGAGCACATAATATGATTGTATTACTTTTTTTGATAGCAGAAATCCTATAAATGTATCAAAATGGGACATCCTGTAGAACCCCCACCTCCAACCCAGCATTACGCCCTCCTTGAGCTTTTAGTATTTGAGGCAAACGTAGGGAAGGAATAGAACTCGACTTATTTTATCATTCTAGGTTTTTGTGTGTCTACATTTTTTAGTATAATTATTCAAAATGATGATTTAACCTGACGGTCACTACACCATCCACAAAACACCTATCGAACTAGCATCAAAATTGAAACTTAGAATATAGACAGCATTTACTACAAGAAAAATCGCAATATTGCCTTAAAATTTTTCAATTTGACAGGCTCGGTGGCCTCGATAAATCTTGGGCATCAATAGAAAAATCTGACTATCTGAGCGGCATTTTGGATTCGAGTAAACACACAATG